CCAGGAAATTATAAAATGTAGTATCTAAACACAAACAAACAGAAAGCAATCAACAATCTGATAAGGCGCACATTTGAGACAAGACCACAGCAAAGACATGGGTCTTTAGGTTCCTCCTCAAAGCGTGAAATATATTCCAAATATATCAGCCCTGAAATCAACTGCAAACATGTTTGACACCTTGAGGACAATAGCAGCCTCCATCATACCAATATCAGCTTTCTCCTCCTGTGCCTGTGGCAAACCTTATGCTTCCTTAGAAAATACTGTATGTAAGCCCTGTTCAGTCATTAGGACACTGTGTTTACTTTATATGTAAGGGGTGTATGTGCATTAATCCTTTCCATTGTTGCATTGCTCACACAAAAGCTACAATTTGAAAGGTAGACAATCTTGGTTTGGCCACACAAATATTTGTCCAAGGTTAATGTAAATCTCTCTATATGGCACCCTGGCATTTAAATGTCCAATTATCCCAAGGAGGTGCATCACACAGTCCCACTTCTCTGTCACTCTTCTCTGCCATTATCACCGCCCTCTCAACCAGCCTTTTTGTCTGCATTCAAATCCATTTTTCTTTCTTTCTAACATTTATCAAGTGAAATAGCACTGACCTGACATGACATGGTATGTGAATTAGTGGTGTGTGAGTTTAGTGCCATGGCCATAATACTAAACTAGCAGAGAAAAATATGTTTAAAAAATACAATTTACAAATTGCATTTTTAGTACAAGAAGGAATGAAAAAGGACTAAAGTTCACTCCCACACTATAACCCATGTTGTATGTCATCAGTGATGACATCTGGACACACTCAACCACAGCCCTAAAGGCGATCACACAAGCCAAAATCAAGATAAAATAACACAACTGGAAATATTGCCAAAAACCACAAGCCCTGCCACCTAAACAACATATATCTCATGCTTAAAGTTCAGTATTGCTTTTGATTAATGTTAATGTTGTGCTGTTGATGGAATAAATATCAAAAGTAACAATGAGAAACAGAACACAACCAGTGAGACACATACCTGCTTAGTTGTTCCCTCTGTCTACTGATGAAAGCTTTCCACAGGGAATTTAAGCCATGGCTTACATGAAGAACTTTCAAGAACAGAAAAAAAAATCTGCCCTCTTCAGACTCACAACTTTCATATGAACAAAATGACAAGGCACGGACTTGGGCTCATGTGTTGAATAAACAATATTTTGAAGTTGCATTATTTAAAACATCAAACAAAACAGGTCAGTCATAGTGCTTGTTGGTGATCAGCATGTTGCACATAAGCCAATTAAAGCTATCCTAGGAGAGATGAGGGAATCCCCCATTCTTCCCAAACTCAAGCAGTTTATGGAGGCTTTGTGGAGCACCCGGACAGTAAGGTTGTCGCCTACAGGTAGGTATCCTAGGGGAAAAGTTTATGTTTCACTTGGCACAGAACTGGTGCATCGTTATGTGCCACTTCTTGTAAGACAGTCCACGCACACTTCAAGACTGGTAAATGCATCCGAACCTCTCTCTCTCTCTCTCTCTCTCTCTCTCTCTCTCACTCACTAAAGCTGGTCCAATTTCTGTTTAAGAGAGGCCACTCTTCCCAAGGATTCCTGGGGCAATGGCTCATAATATCAGACTAAATATTTGACCCTAGTGAATCTTACTGTAATGCATTCTAAGGACATTTATTAGCCTTATACTATGGATAAATGCCATTAAGGACCGCTGTTCAGATGGCCTCTTCTGCTCTTTTAAAACAGGGCTTTTCTGCCAAATACGTGATCATCTTACAAGTGTGCAGCAAAGGATGCACACCTTTCCCTACATGTTGTGGAAGTTACTTAAACCTTGGTTACTGCTTACTGCCACTCACCTTTGCAACTGCTCAAAGCAACCTGTGGAAGTTACTTAAACCTTGGTTACTGCATGCTGCCACCTTTGCAACTGCTGAAAGCAACTATATAAGACACAATGAGCTCTTCTTGTGCTAAATACCTGTTCCTATCAGTTAAATTATCAGGTAAAGGTAAAGGTTCCCCTTGACAATTTTTGTCCAGTCAGGATCCAAGCTATTTTTCACCTCCGACTTTGCTTTAACGAACAGTTACCGGTATCTCAAAATAGAAGACCCCAATCTAACATAAACTTGTAGTTTTTTCTAACTCAATTTTTCCTCCCTTACCAGGCCTGCTGCGTAAACAAACTAGGCTCCAAAATATGCTTGATAAAAGTGCTGAACTGGTGCCTGCTTGTGCTAAACCAGTTAGCCTCCTAATAAAAGGTCCAAATACAATTCTGAAATTCAGCTCAGAAGACATCTCTGCACTCATCCTCAATCAACTGGGAAGGATTAATCCTTGACTAAAGGGTTTCAGCAGGCAATTCTGCCAGACATCATTAAAGCCCTTTGTAGAAACTACAGAAAATCACTCCAGGACTACATGAACCTTAAATAAACCCCCCACACTTACAAGGCTCTCACAATTTCTGGAAAAAAATGTTTATGCTCTTGTTTTGATTATGCCTCTTTTTTGTTGTGGGTGGTGGGAGTTTTTGTGTAGGTACCAGTCTGTGTGGTGGGTTTTCTATATGTTTTACTCTTATTTTTTTTAACTACAACATAAAATACATAAATCAAAATATAAATCAACTGTGCTCCCCTCCACCCTGGTCCGGACTTCTTGCAATAATCATCTTCTTCCATTGTCTTTATCCTTCTTCTTCCTTTATTGTCCTCTTCTCCAGAACTGGGTGAGTTTTCTGTAGACCTTGTGTCCCAATAAGAGGTCAGGTTGTGTATGACCATGACATCTAAGAAAGGGAATTGGCCATCTATTTATTTTTCCATGGTGAATTGTATATTTGGGTGGATGCTATTGAGATGGTTTAGACATTCTTCCAGTTTTTCTTCACCGTGGTTCCAAATCCTCCTTTGGCTAAGACCGAGGTTTCTTCCAGGAAGAGTTGGTGTTCCGATAGGTTGATGATGACGCGCCAGGTGTCTAGTGTAGGTTTCGGTTTACTTGTTTGGCACTTGTTGAATGGTGGCTGTGTGGTCCACCATTTCTTTTTCCATTTTCTGTAGGAGAGGGTATCACTCTTGTCCCAATCATGACTTCTCAAAACTGCACACAAAAGACTAGCTAATGACACTCAGCAATCACAGTGACATACCATTTCCCCCCTTATCATAACAATACACCCATAACAAAAACACCCTGATCACCATAGTCACCCAATCTCCTGAACAGGACAAAAAGCTGATCCCACAGCTACAAATATTCAACTATCCCACACACCACACCAGAACACACAGTTTTAAATCCTGTCCTCTACAGATGCCAGCCATAGAGACTGGCGAAATGTTACGATGAAAAACCTTTGGAACACAACCAAACAGCCCAAAAAACATAGAACAACCATTGGATCCTGGCCATGAAAGCCTTTAAGAATTATTTTCAAAACTGATTTTAATAAGGAATTTGCCGAAATACTCTATTTTAGGCACCCAGAACTCTTCCAATATCCCAAATCATAAATTTTAAGTTTCTTTTTGCAGTTCTTCATACTACAGGAATGGTTTGTGAAAATGTTGCCCATGTTATTTCAGTGAACCCGGGGGCATGACAATAAATATGATAAACTACATAACTGAGAGGATGCTCTGATGCATCATAGTTCAAGTGGGGTCTTCTGAAAATCTCACTTGCCTCATTGTGTGAATATTTGGAGGATTTCCTCATATGGATTTTTAACCTTTGCATCTCATGATTTTACAAACAGTGCAAGTCAACAATCTTTTAACACCCTCATTTCTCTCTGAGAGGACAACATTAAATTTCTTTGGACTCCTCAAACTTTAAATTGTTATACTGTAGTTCTTGATTAGAGTAAGAACATGTACATGCATACTGAATTGTGAACTGCCAAGAAGCCACTATATTTACAATATGGCTCTTGCAAGTTTCTCAGTCTTGCCTATAAACTCCTACATAGCTCCCTACAATCTAACAGCTCTCTGCCAAATGGACCTTTGATGACACATTATAGAAGTACAGTAGATGGTATTAGGCAGACAGTTGGGGTATAATAGGGATGTAATAATTTTCTCTTTTTCTGGAGGAGTGTATGTCTGATCTTCTATTCTGCAATGGCCTGGCTTATTTCTGTGAAGAAAAGCTTGTGCTGTGTTTCATTCTTCCTTCAGAGACACAGGTACTGCTACAAAGCACCAACCCTTGCCTTTGTTTGCTCTCCTTCAAATTCACACCACAAAAAATTCCTTTCATGCTTTCAAAAAATGGCTTCCATCAAGAGACACATGCTACCCCCTGCTGCCACCATAGTTTCATTCTAGCTTTGGAGGTGACTCTTGCTTCTAACCCCTCTCTCCTATGCTACCTGGAGAATTAGCTGGAAAAGAATAAAGAATTTCAAGGAAGAGGAATAACTTGTGTGGTCCAGAATAAAATACTGCATCTCTCTCTCTCCTTCTTTATCATTCATTCATTCATTCATGCATCTCTCATACACATACATAAGGATCCAGCAGCTAAACATACACCAGGGCTGAGAAACAGAAGAAGCTATTTTGTAGGGGAAAAAAAACAAAATTAAAAAAATTCTCAAGCTTTCAAGTTGGGAGAAGGCATCTAAGAAGAAATAAACCTCAGCAGGGAGTTTATTTTGTGTACATGAGAAGTGTGCCTCCTACGGAATAGCAGTAGGGGGGAGCGTTCTTGCTGTTACCATGCTTCCTTCCTTTCCTGTATATTCATTCCCCACAGGATTCCCTTTTTGCCACTCCTATCTGCACCTAACAATGCAAAGCAATCGTCAGGTAATTCTCCGCAGTGTCACACAAAATTACACACCACCTCTTTCTCTATAAACGATCAGTGTGTGGCCTGGCTTTCATTTGCAACTGTAAATGAAACAGGCCTACAACTGTGTTTATAATCCTTCTTAATTGAATTTCTCTGACAAAACCCAGATAGGGTATTATTACCTTGAAGTTAGTGCTGGCCTGAAGCTCCTGGGTTGTCTAAAACAAAAATAAAAACAAAAACAAAAATAAGTATGGGGCAAGCTTGATTCTGATAAAGGGTTACCTTAGTACCAGTAATAAGAAATCCATCCTATATATACAGAGAGAAAAAGGTAGGAATGGTAAGAAAAGGAAAAGCAAGATAGTTCTATGTTCTTAAAAATAAAACTTTACTCCTTTCCCTTCCCACTCTCTTGGTCTTGAACTAATTCGTACTAAAATCTTTTGCATAACAAGCGTAAAGAGAAATAAATTACTACATTTTGACCTCTCCCTTTTTGTGCTATGGATGGCCTTTGTGAGGTCTCTCCAATGTTTCCTTTATCGCTGGAAGGAAGAGCTAGCAACCATGATCTTGACATGTGTGCTGCAACATTCATAAGGCCAAACACTGAAATCTCAAATTTAACCTATAGCAGTTTGACCATGTTCTCGCCACACATTAAAAGGTTTTTAAAAAAATATTTTTTATTAGTTTTTCAATCTATCTACATTCGGTTCATGCTTATCAAACATCATGTTACATGGGTTGCTTACAATTATTTGGTTTTATCATAATATTACTCTCATAGTATACAATGTTTTCAAAATCCTCTAATAACATACTTCATAAAATATCAGTTCTAAATGTATATAGTTTGAGGTGATTTAACCAACAAACTTTGTAATTTATACCAATTATCACTAAATAAGCTCTTAATACATAATAGATACTATCTAGAGCATTTTGCATAACAAGCGGGACGTGGTGGCGCTGCAGGCTAAACCGCAGAAGCCTGTGCTGCAGGGTCAGAAGACCAAGCAGTCATAAGATCGAATCCACGCAATGGAGTGAGCGCCCGTTGCTTGTCCCAGCTCCCGCCAACCTAGTGGGGTTCGAAAGTATGCAAATGCAAGTAAATAGGGACCACCTCGGTGGGAAGGTAACAGCGTTCCGTGTCTAAGTCGCACTGGCCATCTGACCACGGAAGATTGTCTTCGGACAAACGCTGGCTCTATGGCTTGGAAACGGGGATGAGCACCGCCCCCTAGAGTCGAACACGACTGGACAAAAATTGTCAAGGGGAACCTTTACCTTTTACCTAGAGCATTTTATACAGATTTTCTTTGTATAGTTTAGCCATTTTTATCTCCACATTTTTAATCCTGTTGGTAACAATATCATATCTAATGTATGTTCATTATGTACTATTTGCTTACCCCAACCTTATATCTGGCTTCAATTTTTATTCCAAAAAAACCCCACCATATTATGCTTTTACCCTGATTAGTGCTCCCTTATTTCAGTTTAATTCTCTTTTTTAATATATAAGATATGCCCTTTTGCAATTCCAGACGTTAAGTATATACATGCTTTTCAACTTTGAGGGCCACCTTCATGTTTTTCCCTTTTTCATCTTTCTAAGTAATTCCTTCTCTTAATCTTTTTTCAATTTTCTGTCTTTCTAAACATTCTGCCATTTTTGTGTCCTCAGAGGCCATTTTATGCATTTGGTTTATCTCCAATAGATCCTTATGCATTTGGTCTCTATCTCCAATAGATCTTCCATGCTACTTTTAATTAATTCTGCTGATTTTCTCCCCTTATCTTCCCTTAAAACTCTCCTCGACTCCACTAAGTTTTCCCCATTAATTTCCTCCAGTCCTTCTTTAGGTTGGCATACACCGTCCACCACCCTCTCATTTCCTTGTTCACTATTTCCTGTCTCCTGTTGACTATAATTCTTCTTCAACAGCGCCATAAATAATTTTGCTTCTTCGTTGTGTGATCTCACTATTTCTAAAATTGCTGGAAGGGTAGATTTTGCTTCCTCCCAAAATTATCCTTGTTTTGTCATTATGTTCCATTTGTCCAAAAAAATGTATTCCAAGTTAAAGTTGTCCATACACTTAAAGTAATCAATCTAGTTCCATTAAGCTTGAATCCAGTCTCAAACATAGAGTTTTCCCCACCTAAAGGCTCAAGATCACATCCATTTCAACATGCAGGGTACAGTTTATAAGTTCCACTTTGGCTAATTAGGTTTTCTAGGGTTAATTTATCTGTAGTTCAGTTCCTTCCTCAAAGAGAAAGGGAATTCTAAAGTCATAGAACATTCAAGGTCATTGATTCTATGCGTTTTGCCAGTGCCTTAGTTAGCTGTTAGACATAACATAAAACAGGTTCTAATTTTGCAAAGTTGTTGTAAGTAGTGTTTTCAGGAAAAAATTCTTAAGTTTTAATACCGAACTTCCTTCCTTTAAGTATAATTGTCTAATTAATCTCCAATTTATGTTCTTTGTCTCTCCCTCCGTCTCCTCCTCTCTCCAGCTTCTCTGCAGCTCAGTCAATGATAATGGAGAGCTATGAGATGCTATTTCTGCCGTAGGAATGGTCTTATCCAGGGATAGTAAATGGATACAGTTTTTAAAGATGTTTCTCACCCATTTGTGGCACGATGTTAATTAGGCTGATTTATCGCTTCTTTTAACCAGCTGCCGACGACTTGCAAGCAAACTAATTCAGCTGCTTGTTTCCACCCACTAGTCAATTGGGGAGTTTCCTGGATCAAATGTGTGTGACTGCCGTTCCTATGTGATCAACAGGCTCCTCCCCATTTCACCACCTCTTTGAGGTGGTTTTAACCCTCTGGGGGTCCCAAACAGGTTGGAATTCAGGACAGGGGACGGAGCTCTGTTCTCCTCCTGCTGTCTCATTGCAGCATCAAGCCGGAAGTCACATTAAGGGGTTTTGTGAAGCACAATATGGCTTCATAAGAGGCTACATTTGCACAAGTGTTTCAGTTGTAAATGGGCACATGGCTCAATAGGAGAGCAGTGAGGAAAGGGTAGTCAAGATACAATATATGGAAACTTCACTGAATCCTTATGGGCATCTGGTCAAGCTGATGCCAGTAGGTATCTGGGATTGCAGCACTTCTTGGTTCTTCTAACAGTGCTGCGCTATTGTCCACATCACCCACAAGATCAAGACGATTCAACCAATTTCAGTTCCTCATCATCATCATCTAACCTTTGAATCTCAAGCAGGTTTGGGTTCAGCCAATTCAGCTCTCGATAACTGAACTCAAACCTGTCTGCTTTAAACCTGTCAGCGTTTGAGAGATAGAATGAGATAAATCATGCTTCCAAGCTTTTCCTTCTCTTTCCTTTTTCTGCTGCTTAAGACATTCAAGCTGCCACTGAAGCTTCTCGCAAAAGGGAAGAGCAATTTATTAAATCTTCACCACTTTCTTAACAATTGCTGGAAAGCTTTGTTTTTCCCTTTTTCAAAGTATATGAAATACCTACCATTTCCGAGCAATGACAGGGCAATATTCGTTAATTTTTTTATAGAGGATTGGGAGCTCCTTGGCTCAGCTGCTGACCATGTTCAGAAACAGAACTGCCGGAGGAACTATAATACATACATAAACTACTCCAAGCTGAATCATGATGCAGCAGATGTTTAATGTTAGCTTAGTGTCACAGCAAGAAACAATCTACTCTTCATCATTGTGGGTTTTTTGGGCTCTTTGGCCGTGTTCTTCCTAATGTTTCGCCAGTCTCTGTGGCCGGCATCGGAGTCAGGAGTCAGAACTCTGTCTGGACAGAGTCCAGTCTCCTGTCCTCTGAAGACTCCTGTCCTCTGAAGATGCCGGCTACAGAGACTGGCGAAACATTAGGAAGAACAACCTTAAGGACATGGCCAAAGAGCCCAAAAAACACACAACAACCATCAGATCCCGGCTGTGAAAACCTTCGAGAATACAAAATCTACTCTTCCTTTTTCAAGGGAGAATTCTTATTACTAAGACATAATACTGACAGAATATCCTGTTATTTGAAATAGATTCTGAAAATTAGTGCATTAAAATAAAGCACCTTGTGCTAAGGAAATGCATCAAACATTTCTGCAAGCTGATAAAAGTCTTTTTACAAAATTCCCAGTAAGTGATATTTTAAATGCTGGGCTGCTTTTGAGTCATAAGCAGTAACCTAGTCAGAAAGGGCCTTTTAGTTGTAGGTTTTGAAGTCAAAGTAGCCTTCACCATCAAGAACTGCACCTGTTACAGAAAACCCCAAAATTATTTAACCATTTCGATGTTCGTTTTTGCTCCTTACAAAACCAATCCTGCTTTTGGTCTTGCAGGATCTGTATGTGGACTGTTTCACATACCCCAATGGGGGTGATCTTCTGTCTTAGTCCCTGGTTTGCTTTACCATATGAGGTTGTTCACTACAAGACATGTAAGCTAATTAAGTCATGAATCAGTTCTTAAAATTATAAAGCTTTCACTCTTAGTAGATGCATCGGATCAAATTGCTTATGGAAGTCACTGCCAGCTCTAGAGAGAGACCTTCAAGGTGGCAGCAACTGCCCCGTCAGCTCAATGTGAAGTGGCATGTTTGCAACATAAGTTCAGTGACAGTAAAAGAGTAAAAATCTCTCTGTGAAGCTGTAAATAGAGAGTTGCTGAATGACTGCAAATCTGTAAAAGAATGGGAATTGTAGTGACAAAAGGGTGAAGAGGAGGAGAGAGAAAACAATGTGTTTAGCAAAGATTCCCTTTCCTATCTATGAAAAAATTCAGTCTCTTGGACAAATTGATTTATCCATTTCCCGTTTGTATCTACAGTTCTAATTCAACAAAGTACATGTTGACCAGTTGGGACTTTTGCAAGGGTACAGAGGGCCAGAACATTTCGTTGCTTTTCATGAACATTTGGGCAGCAATGCGTGATGTCCCAATTTCAGCATTTCTTGGGTGACTGCTCTGACATTTTTTTTTTGTTTACTTAGGGCACATTGCCTTCACTCTTATTTGCCTCATTTGGCCTCCAAGAAATAGCACAGAGGCAAAAACTAGCACAACACATGATCCCTGACTACCTGGGATTACCCCACAACTTGCCTAGGTAGAAAACACCAAATAAATTTCAGGATTTAAAGGCAGAAACTTGTTCTTCACATACATAGGATCTCAACTGGATCACAGAGGGCCTCAATTCCAGCT